CTGCTGAGACCTTGACCATCGCACTCGGTCTACGTAAAACAGTGGCATTTGCGATCTTCCACGGTCCTAGGGAGTCCAGGATGATCCAATCAATGTCAAGTGCTGTGAGCTGGAGTCGACCCAGTCACACTGTGTGGTTGAGAATGAATGTCACATTGAACATTGTAGTCTGGTGCCTTGGGTTTCTTACCTCCGGTCTGCACTTCAAATTTATCTTTCTGCCTTTCCTGTGCTTCCACTTGCGCAATTCTTTTTTTTTTCTTCTCTGTTGTTTTGGCACTTTTGGAAAAGCTGGCAACTCCTAGGTTAGTCTCTAGAAGATTCCCCACAGTTGCAAAACATTGACTCCCCCTTGTCTCATCCCTCTGTACATCTCCCGCTCTCCCCCTGAACCCTCATTTCATGTCATCTTTCAGAGACAGACATTTATAGAGTGTGTGATGCTTGAGCATTGAGTGTTTCTGGTCTGTTAACCCAGTACTGCTCCAAAGTAGAAGGAAAGTAGAAGGAGAAGGAATTTTTTTTTTTCCTGGACTTTTGCTGGGGAAAGTTCCTGCTCTAGGAAACATCCTCACGGCTTTTTGCTCAACATTGCAGACATTGATTTGCCTGTATCATTGAATTCAAAACAAAAAGGCAGAAGAGCAACAGAACATGCCAGTAGCTGAAAAGGGAACAGAATAAACATTTCAGCTTCCCTGGGCCAAAGTAGCCAATAAATTGCTTTACCCTTTACAAATTAAAAGAAGATGCAATTTTAAATTTTTTCCTACAAATACACAAAGTAGGCCATTTTAATGAACAATCCAGTTAACTGGGAAAGTGGAGATGTCTCACGAGGAGTGCTTTTCCCCACCATCCACCCCACAGCTCTTAGGACCCCTGTAAAAGAGCACTAAGAAATTCAAGTCCCACAGACACTGCTGTTTTCTTGAACTTTAAACAGCACAAGGCAAAGAGAAAGACAGTTTAGGGCAAATAGTCTGACTAAATTGCTGAGTCAGACACTGAATTTTAAAGAGTAATCATTGCTTTTCCAAGCAAAACCTACCCCACTGCAAGCAGAGAGCACTGCTTATGGCTCAGAGGACACAGAAACCATTGGTGAAGTACAAGAATCTTTAAAGGTGGGTAGGTACTTTCTCATGATCACGATATGCAAAAATGGAGAGCTGAGTTGAATTTCTTCTTTTCCTCTCCCTTCCACCTGACACACATGTGCTTTTTTAATGTCTGAGGAATGGTTTCTGCAGATGGAAATCAAGTTTCTCTCTGCTGTCCATCGCAGACTGAAACCACTGTCTGTCAGTCATTTCTTCTATCCTCTCTCTGCTTCCAAGCTCACCTGTAGTTTTCCTCTTCCCTCAGAGCAAAAAAGATCAATTTGATGATTCCTGACATCTAGGTGATGCTGGTAATGTGGACAAGGCCCTTACTGTACTTACCACGGCAACTTCTGCTGGCTAAAGTGGAATGGAGAAGCAGCTTTCCTGCCTCATATCACACACACGACTTAAATTGCAACACCAAACAAGGCACGAAGCATCTAGACAGCAGTTTTCTAGTGACTGATACCAACTATCCCTGTGATCAGCTTTAAAAGGGACAGGTTTCTTTTGTATTTTTCCTGAAAGCTTTGATTTGCATGTGCAAAAACTTTCACTTTCCTAACTCCTACTCGGGCCCAGTGACCACTCTGTAGGGGCCACGTGTCAGAATTTACAGTGTGCAAACCATGTTTTTTAATCCTTTAGATTATTGCAACCCCACAAAGCCTTACTCATGGAGAACATCAACCTGAGGGCTGTACAAAGACGAATGTTTATTAGAGCAAATCTAACTGCCAGGTGCTTAACTAAAAGCTTAGGCCCGTAGTCTGACACTTTTGCATCCATACAAGTAGAGGTCAGTGTAAGCCTTCTGGGAATGTAGCCCTAGGAAATGCATGCAGTCTGTAAAATAAAATTGCGTGAGACAGCATGTGGCAGTGACTGTGCTGGGAGGGCAGTAACTCTAGATTTAGCAACAGTTTTGTAAATGTTTCACAAATTTCATATCTCAGACCAACTGACTGTGATGAAAAAAAAAAAAGACCCTCAAGTCTCTTGCATCAGATTAACTGTCAAAATAATATAGGATTGCGTTCTAGCGTGCCACAGAGATAATGAGATAAAACCATTTAAAAAGATATCTCCACTCAGTTCTATATCCAAGCAGCTGTCTCTCTTAATGTTCCTCCATTAAAGACATGGGATGAAATACTGCGTGCTTTGGAGCTGGTGACAAAGAACTAGGATACATGAGATTTCTGTCATGGCTGAGGCTAAAAGCTGTATAAATTAATCAGAGTCTTCTCTTACATAGAATGGGCATCTGGTGATGCTGGAGGCAGGCAGGGGCTATGCCTGTGCTGCAGATCCCTTCCCAGCAGCTGTGCCGGGGAGCCCTCCAGCGCAGTTGCAGCAGAGGCTGGCCAGAGGACTTGTTGTAGTGACACCACCTCCTAAAAAGCTGTAAGTCATGCTGAGACAGTCCTCTCCTCTCCCACAGCACAGCTGCAGCCAGGCCAGCAGACTTCCCAGGAGAGAAGAATCACTTTGGACCATAAATTTCTCCAGGTGATGATCCTGTGCTGGCTCAATTTTGTTAGTGTAGTTCTGGGCTGTATGAAGGATGCTTCTGCCCAGCAAAACTTAGGGGAAGGATGGCTCTGAGACCTAGGACCGCACTAGTGTCATGCACGTTAGCTGCTGGGGAGGGAGAGGGCTTACAAAGCAGGAGTTAAAGCAAGTCAGGGCTGAGGTAGCTCAGGAGACCAGCTGCGAGAGTTCAGATTTGGGCTGGAAAGATGTGCATGCTAAAACTGACCCCACAGCACAGAGGCTGAAATGGACTCAGAGCTGGAGTTAGAAGAGTTGCAGCAAGTCCTGGCTGAGGTACATCAAAAAGATGCATCAGAACTGTAAGCAATGTATGAGAAAAGCTGCAGTATGGGCAAGGTCAAGGGGCAGAAAATAGGTGTGAACACAGCTCTGTGCACAAATGTTGTGGGTGGAGAGAGCTCATCCATCACCCTGAAGACACAAGCATGTAGTGCCTGGCTGTTCTGTATAACTGGGTTAACACTTCTAGAAACAGCCAGTCACCAGAACATGGGTAGCTAAAGTTACTCCCACTGGGAACTTTGAAATAGTCACACCTGAGGAAGCTTCAGGCCCTTGCTAGCATTCAGAAAGCTCTCTCTCTCTAAAAAAAAACCAGAAAGAACCATGTTGAATATTGGCTCCAAAAGTACAGTACGTAATGCTGCATAGACTTTCATAGCGCTGTCATCAGCAGTGGACAATACAGTCATTGGAAAATGTCTTCTGTTTTGCCAGCCTTAAAATATCGCCCCTGTGCTTGGGCAGCCAGCATCTGCCGGGCGTAGCGACAGCTTCCACACTTCCACACAGCCCTTCACCACTAGTTTCAGTGCTCTTCTTAGGACGCCTGTAAGGTCTTTTGCTTTTTCTGCTGCCCTTGCAGAGTTCCAGGGTAAGACTGAGGTGAAAATCCTGGAAGGGGACATCCGAGATGCAACGTTCCTGCACCGTGCCTGTCAGGGGGTCTCCCTCATCATCCACACGGCTTCCATCATTGACACCTTGGGCCTCGTAGAGAAGCAGCTGCTCTGGGAAGTCAATGTAAAGGGTGAGTGGTTGAAGCACCTTTCTCAAACCCATGTCTGCTGTGTCCTGATCATCATCTGCTCAGGCAAGGGAGCACCTGACCGGTTTTTTTGAGCCAGATTAACTGGGTAGTTCTGCATTTTGCACAGCCACACCTGTGAGGGCAAAGCATGCATATGTGCAGCCTCATGCAGCTCTGTCCCTCTCCACAACCTGCGTGCACCCATCTTCCACTGCAGGGCACTGCAGGATCATTCATTCTTGTCATTACATTTGCCCATCCTGAGATCTGCACAGGCTCTGTCTTCAGTGGGGATAGCCACAATCCCATGCTCAGTGGACCTTTCTGGAAGCAATTCACCTCTGAAATCCCAAAGCAAATTTGAGAAAATTGGTTCTTATTCTCCTTCCCGATGTAGTATCACTGTCTGTGTACATTTTTTAATTTTTGCAAACACTATAGGCTTTGGCTGTAATTACAGCAACCTTGCATTGCTAATGTGCCAGACCCTGTGGCTCTCTGCTTCCTGTTCTTTTTCTTCCTCCTCTTCTCCTTTTTCTTCCACTTGCCATTATGTCTCGTGTGCATGAATGCAGTTCAGAGGAGCATGTGCTCTTCCACCTTGATCTTATCATTAAAAATCTCCAAGCAAACTCAAGGCTATGGGAGGGAGGGGTTTCAGTGACTTCCCACTCAGTGACGGGATCTCCCTTTCTACTAAGGAGCCCCTTTTCTTCAAGAAAAGATCAGATGAAGGGGGAAGCTTTTGGCCTAGGAATGGCCTGTGTGGCATCAGCTGCCAAGAAATTTAAATGTATTTCCTAAAAGAACAACTTCATCGCTCTCCCTGTGATCCCAAAACCCTCTATGCCTTTCAGAGAACTGGTACTGCCTAACCTGCATGCACACCGACCTCTCTGGCTGTGTTGCTTCAGCTCCTTGGGGAAGATGGGGGGAGATGTTCTTACTGACATGAATAGCTTTCCTGGTTTTCCGCTCCTCTCTGCCACAGATACAGGGCTTCTTTACATAAAAATAAGGAACATATTTCTACAGGCACCACTTTTACAAATATTGGCTACTCACCACTGTTCAGAGCAAAAGTGTCTTCTTTGTAGCTGAGTTGTCTCCTACATGCACCTTAAAAACAGTGAGAACGCATTTTGGTTGTTTTAGCCTGGCTCATTGCCTGTACATTCAGCTTCGAGACCCTTTCACTTCAGTTAAAGCCATGAATTGTCAGTGCCCACATGTTAGAGCCCAGTGGGCAGCTGCTTAGGTCCCTGCCAGGAGGGAAGAGCTGAAGGCAAGCTTTTGTAAACCTGTGCATTGGGTAGTATGCAAAATAAATATACAGGGGTGGTAGTTCAGAAAAAGGAATTTGTAAAGCTCTCTCTCTGTGACTATGCTCCTGCTACAATCTGTTTTTCACAGCAGAATGTGTTGCCTAAACCCATGGGGGAAAAAAACAACCAACCAAAAAAACAAATATTAAAATATCCCCAAATCAGAAAGCTCTCTAGCTCTGAGCTGGAGTCAGAGAATTTATTTAAGTCTGCCCCATTGTTCCTTTTGGCAGGTTTAGGCTTCAAAGTATCTAGGCTTTCATAAATCTTTCAGATGCCCTCCAGCAGAGTTTTCCTGCAGGTGAAATAAGCCCACTGGGCCAGTGAGGGTTAGCTGATAACATTTGGTAGTATGAAAGCACACACCAGCCCTTCTCCTAGAGCAAGCTGACCCTAAGGTCAGTCAGTAAATACTGCAGTCCTCTTCCCTGTTTCCCTCCATTTCTATTCCGATGCTCTTCAGGCTTTCCGACCAGCCAAGACACTGCTACGTATTTCATAGACTTGCAGAATGAAAGTTTCATTTCTCCTAGAAAACAGAACTTTTATAACACAGATGTGTCAAGGAACCAGATGTGGATGTTCACAAACCAGAACAGAAGCATACAAGTTAAGCTTGCAAAGATGCAGGGCTTTCCTCTGTCTCACATGCCACACAATGCCTCAGAGCAAAAATATCCTTTTAGGAAGGGAAGCAAATTTTCAGGAGGAAGGGAATTAGGAAAATAATTAAATATAATCCAAATGGAAATACTCTCTATGTGTAGATCCTCAGCCAAAAGGGCATTGTGTGCAAGAAACACTTGGAGACCTGCTCCATGGAAGATTTACTTTATTGCATGCTGTGTGAAAGATGCTCAAATTCCCGTTACTGTAAGAACCTTTTCATTTTTCGCATACAGCTTTGATTTTCAAATAAAACATTTTATTTGGGTGAAATGGATCTTGAACAGATACCAACTGTCAAGATAATTTTATGTTTGCTTTTTTTAAAACTTAGCGTCTCATTTGATTTTATCTAGCCTTTCGGCATTTTATTACTTTCCCTCTCTTTCTAAACAGCATTGATGGCAGGAATTAAGCTATTTATATTTAAAATAATGTATTATATTTATTAATTAATCTTCCAGATGACCCTGGCTTGTGTGTCACCTAAACATAGTGACTTGTGTGAACTCACTTTTGAGGTGAATTTACTCCTGGCTGTGTAACCTCTTTTTCTTTGCTGTTCTTTAGTGTTTCTTAAAAACTCACTCGGATTTATTTTCTATTTGTTTCAACTTCTTTTGCTTTTTCAAGATTGAAAAAAAAGAATTTTTGTGCTCTAATAATACTCAGTTCAATATTTCTTCCCATTCTTCACTCATTTTTGGGTCCATATTTTGCTGCCAATATTTCTTGGTCCTTTGAACCTCTTTTATTCACCATAATCTCTTTAGAAACACTAGTGTGCCCTGCGTTGTGCTGCCTTTAGTTGTAACAGACGGAGCAGACTTGTTAGATCATGTATGTGCCTCACCACTAGTGTTTGATTTTATCCCCTAGATTTTAGGCCACACCCTTCTGATATCATATCAGTGATTTTGGTTTAATGCTCCTTTGCCAAAGACGTTTTCAAATGTCTTTGAGCTGTGTCTTCTGTTCTGAAGTCACTGGTTCTTTCACACATAATCTCTCTCATTACACCATGCACAAAAAATAAGGCAATTTTTCCCTCACAACTCAGAAGAAAAAGAGTCTGCTTGCAATTAAAACATCACAACTTATTAAAGTTTTTATTTTCCCCTTGAATGTGGTTTCCTAGCTTAACCCTCTTGGCTATTTGAAAGACCTTGAACTTGCCAGTTTACCTCTGCTCCCCTCAATGAAAGCATTAGGACAGGATTTCAACAGTAAGAAATCCTGTATTACTGCAAGTAAAAGCCAGAATTTGCTGAAAAAGGAGGCATACATACACACACATCACTTTGCTCACTGCATTTTGCTCTATGATCTTTGACTACATGGTATCATGCATTGTTCCGACAGAACTTTCTCTTCAAGCCCTCCTCTGAAGCCAATTGAATAGCGGATAGACTTCCACTGAGTGAAGCTGATTTTGGAGCAAACCTGCAGGTCCCACATCAGTTCTGCCCCTGCTTAGCAAACCACCCAAGAGCATCCTCAAGCCTGGAAAGCAGGGGCTTCAGCATAAAGGTGGATGGTACCTAATGAGAGGGGCAGCTTCCGACAGTTCTCTGCCTTAAGCCAAGTCAACCCAACCAACCGGCACAAGCCCCTGAATCTGTGGTCAGTATCCATGCTAACCTAAGCAAAAGCAAAATTTGACTCTTGGCATAAAAATCCCCACAATATGTGATTAAGACCAAGTGTTCATGTTTGTTTAACTGCGGCAGGTGCACCGATATCACTTCAATACAGATTCAGAGCTGGTTCGATTTCATTGAACATGCTGCCCACTTCAGGACACGATTCTTCCAGCTGCAGAGAGGGGAGATCTGGCCGAGCTCGGGCCAGAGATGTTGTTTCTGATCTAAAAAGCCCACTTCTTCCTGCTTGCGGAGCTCTAGACTGACCTGCATGTTTCTCTTTTGAAGGTACTCAACTACTGCTGGAGGCATGTGTCCGCTGTAACGTCCAGCACTTCATATATACCAGTACCATAGAAGTGACAGGCCCAAACTGCAAAGGTGACCCAGTTTTCAATGGTGATGAAGATACAGCTTATGAGAGTATATCAAAATCTCCTTATGCCCAGAGTAAGAGACTGGCAGAGGATTCTGTGCTGAAAGCAGATGGCCAGATGTTAAAGGATGGTGGCATACTGATGACTTGTGCCCTGAGATCCATGTACATCTTTGGAGAAGGATGCCCATTTCTTCAAGGTCATCTGGATAAGTGTCTGCTGAACAAAAATGTCTACCTGCGCTTCTCCAGGAAGGAGGCTTTAGTGAACCCCGTGTACGTGGGGAACATCGCCTGGGCACATGTGCAGGCAGCCAAAGCTCTGCGGGTCCCACAGAAAGCCAAGCAGATCAGAGGGCAGTTCTACTACATCTCAGATGACACCCCTCATATGAGCTACGCAGATCTAAATTATGAGCTGACCAAGAACCTGGGGTTTGGAATTGAGCCCCGGCTCCCCATGCCTCTGACAGCGTTGTATTACTTCTCGCTGCTGCTGGAGATCGTGAGCTTCTTGCTCCGGCCCTTTGTCAGATACATCCCCTCCACCAACCGTCACCTGGTCACTCTACTGAATACTCCATTCACCTTCTCTTATAAAAAGGCACAGAAGGATTTTGGCTACATGCCCCGCTACACGTGGGAAGAGGCCAAGCAGTGCACTGGTCAGTGGATTGCCTCCGTGGTCCCACAGAGAAGGGTGTACTTGAAAAGCAAGACTGCCTAAGTCTTAAGAGCAGCTGAGACCTGTCTAAACAAGTAGGCCCTTGAACCAGAAGAGAGCTGGGTGAACAGCAGCAGCAGATAACTACGAAGAACCTAAATGGAGACTTTGTGTAACAGCCCCCTCCTCCCCCCACCACCCCAACCCTGAATAAATAAAAGTGAGATGTTCATTTGTTTGTTGAGCACAGGCTGATCAGGGTAGATTTACTGTATAGTCTACATCCACTTCCACATCTTGTGCAGCACTAAGACATTGTTTTATAGGATTCCACAAAGTCTACGGTGTGAACACATTGGCCCTTCTTTTCGCTCCATACCACCTTCAAGGCGTTTGTAAAGCAGTAAGGGCACAATCCAACCTAGAACTGTGATTACACTTTACAAATATGCAACACTCAGCTACACCCCACTCACTCAGCTCCTGCCAGCCTTACTTCTGCAGCAGGTAGAAGCCACCTGATTGCAAAAGCTGTTACAAATCTTGCTCACTTTTTCAAGAGTATTGCGCAGTTTCATGTGGCATTCACCTGACAGTTAAACCACAGAGCAAATTTGGGCACTGTAAGCACTGTGAGGCCAAAAGCACAATGCAAATGCAACATAGTTTTATTTATGACAGTTTGTAGGGGGAGAGAAGGGGGAGATTTGGTCAAGTGAAGACTCCCTCATCCATTCTCGTTTTCCTAGTCACCAGTTTTGCAATAAAGCTGATGGCTGCCCAGCAGAACAACAGCTTCAACAAGATGAAAAGGAGCAAAATATTGCAGGACATCCTTGGTCACTGAAGGGTTTCCATTGCATTTGTGAAGACATTTGTGAACACTGAGGAAAAACAGTGCTGAAAGAAATCGTGCTATTTCCAGATTTCAGCTGGGAACAAAGGCTACCTTTAGCTGACAGATGCACATGTGCTGTCCCTGTGCTCTTCTGATGGTCAAATGAGTTTCTACAGAATGTGTAACTTGACTTTCAGGCCAAAAATGTAGAATTTATCTGAACAAATAGATGTGATCCAGTGTTTCTTTCTTAAACATATGGCTCACTTTCTGAAAACAGCTCTAAGAGATGGGAATTTCTCTGTTCTGTTTGGGATAGTGTGAACAGAAACGTTTTACCTGACTCAGTGCTAATTTATATAAATCACATTTCCAGAGATGCTGGCAGCTTAAAGTGTGTGTTCAGTTTAATTATTCAGTGCCCTACATATTAGATAGTCCCAGTGCAAATACTACCATTTTCTTTAGTAGCATCTTAGGTGAAGTATGTAAGATCTAAAGCAGTAGAAAACCAGCCATCAGAACTTCCAGTCATATTCTGGGGACACCTTCCGCTGTTACAGCGGCTTGCTGAAGTGAACTGAAGTAGGAGCCAAAGTTGCCCGTTTTTCTGTTAATTGTAGAGCATTCTGAAGCAAGGTGCTGACAGCGAGAAAGGGACCAGCAACGTGGTGGCATGGAACCACCTGAGGCACAAATCTTGTGTACGTCACAGACAAACAGAGAGTAATTTGGGGAGCTCTCTCCACTCATTTTTAGTAGTTGCTGTGGTCTGGACATGATTTGGCCAACCTTATTTTTAAACAAAATACTTTATAAGCTTGGTGATTGCCCTACCCAGAAAGTAAGCCAATAAAATATGGTTTAAGATGGTCTCCTGTTCACAGGTGTTTGCTGGAAGGATCAACCCCTTCTGCTTCTGCTTAGCTTTGCGATTAGCCCAATTGTGTTTGATTTTCTAGTTTTGCTTAAACTCAGGCCTCAAAATTGACCAAAATGAGGCCAAATCAATGCCACATCAGTCAGCCACTTCTTACCAGCGGCAGCAGTTAGGCAGCCCTCATCCAGCTGGTATCAACTGCAAAGGCACACAGGCATGAGAAACCGTCTATCTGCTTCTGCCTTGCTGCTGTGGCCACTTTAAAATGCAGATCTCAGTGTCTAACTACAGATCACTTTTAGGCCACTTAATTTCATTCATATGCTCTAAAATTTCCTTCTAAAATACTGCTAAAAACAAGTTTGTTCTCTACCCGACAGGACTCCGAACTGCAGAGGAGTTCTTGGTGAGAATGATTTGCCCATGAAGGACAATAAGGATTCCAGGTGCAACTTGCAGACAGGGGTCATGTCTTACCTACCAGTGCCAGTAATAATCATGGCTTTATGCTAATAATTACACCTTCGGACCTCTCCATACATGCTCTGTTCTCCAGATTGAGCTCCAGTTCCTGTTGAGTTCTGTTCCCCTCCCACCCTGTTCCTTTGATCTCAGTTCCCCTTCAGTCCCCACTGTGGATGCTCCATTGCCCTTCCAGTACTTTTGTCTGCATGCCTGCCCTTGGCGCGCCCCTCTATTCTCACTGTGCTCCCCCTAAACTCCTCCACTGGGGCTCTTTTCCACTCCCCTCCCCTCCAGCTGCACTCTGTTCCCTGCCAGGCCTCTCAGTTCATGCATCTTTCACCATCTCACAATCAGAGAAAGATGGGCTCCGCACCTTATGGCTGTCTCAGGCAACCCAATATCTTGCTGTCCAAAACCCTGCTCAGGGATGGAGGGAAACCAGGAAAACAGAAGAGTAGGGTTTGCTGCCTTCCCTGGCTACCCAGTCCAACCTCCCCATTTTCTCTCTGAGCCCCTTTGCCCCGCTCCCTTGACACCATCAGAACTAAAGCCTGCAGGGTCTCGCACTGCTGCTCTAAGCCCCATACCCCACTGCCCTCCCAGGGCCTCAGGAACGCAGGTGTCCAGGACCTCCCCACTCCTTGAACAGAGTCAAGGAGGGAGGCAGTGGCCAGGGAGAGGGGTGTCTCAGTGTCACCCATCCCAAAAAGCTTTGTTACCCCAGTCACCCTGGGCTGTGAGGCCACAGTCTGGCCAACAGAGAGAGCAAAAGCCAGATGTCTAGAGGGCAGGCAAAGCAGGAGACAGCTGAGATCTTGGCAGCTCAGGTGTGCCATTTGCCTGGGTGCAGAGAACTGAGGGTTTGCAGCTAGTGAACTTGTGTGGAAGGTTAGGTATGAGGATCTGCAGAACTGGCCAGAACACCCAAGACCACCTCTTCACGATGCACAGGAAAGGGAGTGGGCCTGGGTCTGCCTCCAAGGTGGGAGGAGGTACAAAATGAGCCTGAGGAACAAAACAGCTTGGGGACCCAGCACCTTTAATCTTGGCGTGTTGAGGGCTTTTGTATGCCTTGGAAACACTAACTCACCGTCCAGGATCAAGCAAAAGTAGGAACAGAGAGCAGGGTGGGAAAAGTTAGGGAACCAGACACTTACAGGATCTCTTCTCAGAACTGATCTGAAACTGAGACAAATGACAACACAGGATTGCTTGAGGGCCTCTGTGAAGACCGAGTCCTGAGAGGCTTACACTGTTGCAGGCATTAGAAATTTGCAGGGAGAGAGGAACTGGGTTACTGGCATCCTCATGGTTTGTGAACTGCTTTGGATTTGCAGGAAGGTGGGCCCAGCTCCTTGGGGAAGCGAGAACTTTGGGAAAGCAGAGTGTCTAAGAGCAGCTTTGTGCTCTTGAGGGAACTGAAGTACTTCTGCAACTCAGCCCGCAATGCCAATTTCCATCCCTGCCAAGCCATAGCCTGTTGTGGTGCTACCACGAGACCTGGAGTATAAGCTTGGGTTCCCATCTGCTTGTGAGGAGACTCCTTGATCCTCCCTCAGCCTTGTTCAGGTGTGTGATGATTCACCTTTTCTGCCTTGGTGACATTACCAAACATCCTGAAGGAATTTTTCCCTCTCTCTCTCTGTCAGTCCAATCCCACAAGAGGCTTTGGGAGAGAAGGAAGAGGGATGACTACTTTGGGTGCTGCTGCTTTAGTCCCTAGAAGAGTCAGCTGGTCCTTTCAGGCCTCACGTCTCCCTGCAGACAGGACATTACACTTCATTTCTCTGTGCTTTCTTCCCCTTCATTCCCTTCCACAGACATTGTTCCTCTTCCTTCCCCTGCACACAGTCTTATTTCCACTCATTCTCCTCTATGCATACCCTGTTCCTCTCCACTTCTCTCATGCATTTTTCCCACCCCACCTCCTTTGTGCCCACTCTGTCTCCCCCCATTACATTAGAGGTCCCACCATCGCCAAGTAGAGAGGGATAATCTTTGCCCTCCACCTACTTACAGTCTGTGCTCCTGTTAACATGGCTTGGGACACTGCCTGCGGCCCTTGCTGCTGGGGCACACTTCTCCCTCACGTACAGCTTGCTGCCTACCAGGACTTCCAGGTCTTTTTCAGCAGAGCTGACCCCAGTCAGTCAGTCCCCAGCCTGGGTGCATGTCTTTGCATTTGTCCCTGTTGAATTCCATCAGGTTTCTGTTGGCCCGGCCCTCCAGCCCACATCATACCTCTGAAAGGCAGCCTTGCCTTCAGGCGTGGCAGCTGTTTCACCCCGTTTGGTGTCACCTGCAAACCTGCCAAGAGTGCACTCCATTGCTTCCTGCAGGTCACTGATAAAAATGTGGAACAAGACAGGCCCCAGTATAGAATTGTGCAGTACCCTACTTACTACCTACAACCTTCTGAGCCCAATCATCCAACCACTCTTTTTAACCCTTCTGGTTGTCCATCCATCCAGAATGTCCATCCACATACAAGCATGCTGATGGAGACGATGTTGAGACCATTGCTAATGTTGAGGTAAATGAGAAAAAGCCACCTTTGTTCATGCTCTGTTCCCCTCCCATCACTAAACATTTGCCTTCTGTTTCCATCCGCTCCCCAGTATTCCCATTCTCATTTCTGCCAGATCCCTCTGATGGAGCTGTCTTCCTCTCCTGTCCCCTCCATTTGTGCTTTTCCCCTCCCTTCATGTTCTTATTCTGTCTAGACCTCTCTGGTGAAAATCTGTTTAGCTACAGCCCCTCCATTCAGGCCTTCTTCCCCTTCAGCATCATCATTCACGTTCTTTTCTTCTCCAGTCTTCTTCATTGTTGGCTTTTTTTCTCACCAGGTGGTTCCTTTCCATTCCCCTCTGTACATACTCTGTTCCCTCCCAGTTCCCCTCCATTTCCATTTCCAGTCCCCTTTGGGCCCCTCTGTTCACAGTCTGTTGCCCTCCAGTCACCACCATTCACACTCCACTCCCAGTTGCCCACTTTCACTCTCTTCCTAGGCAGAAGGCTCAGAGCTGGCCATAAGCCTCCAAAAGACGCCCAAGTATGTAAAAATCACATCCCTTTGAGTGCTGCTAGTAAAGCTCCAGATCAGCTCCATATATTTACATATACAATGGTTATCACAGTTGCCTCTAGGGTTGAATAAGGCTCTCAGAATGCTCAAAACAAAATACTGCTGAAGGTGGGTATCAAACCCTGCTCAGAAAAGCAAAAAGAAGGTGTTTAACAAACAGTAACAACTACTTTTTTTCTAGGCTAGTGAGATTTCATCCTAAGGTCTGGTGAGACCAATAATGGACGCAGAAATGGCTGCTCCGTCACTGAAGTAGGAGGAACAATCCAGACACACAGAAACAGAACAGGAAATGAAGGGGGAGAACAACAGAAGCAGAGCTGCTATTTAATAGAGGAAGGCACTGAACACATCAAAGAGCTGGAATATTACAACACACACCAGAAAACTGGGACATTTTTGCCCAGGTTTAACAGAGCTCCTAAAATACCTACAGATGCTGCCAGAAAGAAAAAATGATGACTTTTCTTCCGCATTTCAGCAAGTGACTCATTTCCCAAATGCGGGCTCCTATTGCCAGAACCTACTTTGTCATTTTTGCCTTGTCAGTAAGACAGTGGGACCTTTTCATCTCTCCGAAGACCATGCTCCCAACAGTCAGCCTTCTAAGCACTGAATTCCTCCGTTGCTGAACTTCCTCTCTATTTCTTGTTACCACATCCATTCCCTCAATCCCCATGACAAGCTGTTCCTGCTG